ATCTCTATCTCTATCTCTATCTCTATCTCTATCTCTATCTCCCACCGGCCCTCTCGTCAGCGCATGCAGAGCCATCTCTGCGCTGGCCGTGAGCCAGCCGATGCCACGTGGGAGGGCTGACCCGCCGTGCCCATTGCGGCGACCCTGTTGGGAGGAGGTCAAGAAAGCAGCAGATTTCACCCCCAATCCGCCCACACTCGACGTATGCAGCTTCGGCCCTCAAATTAACCATTTTCTTGTTTGTATTCATAAGTACCTGTAAAATGTGCTCATGTGCGTGTTTGTGTATGTATGTACTCATACATACGCCCTCATACCGTTTAACATGCATAACAATCACCAGTTTAAACTGGTGAGTCGCCATCCCAAGAGAGGAATCGTGTCATTGGGGTCTGCATCCTCAGACCAGTGTGTGCATGCACTCACGTGCCATTTCCTGTCCTCTCTGGAATATAGTGCCTTTTCTAAGCGGTGATTTCAGTGTGTCCGGCCTGCTGAGCGTGTGGCCCCACGCAAGCCCTGTCTGAAAAAGAAACCTCCTGCTCTTAGCTGCTGTACACATCATTTTATTTATGGCTTCTGCACTGTCCCCCCCTCACCACACCCTGTCTTTGGTCAGTCTTTGTTTTTGTTCTGTTAATAAAAAAAATAATAATGAAATTATAAACAGATATTGTGTTTGAGTGTTAGACCATTTTGGTTGTTTTTTTTTGTGTTCTGATTCAGAAGCCAAGGGCTTAACTTAATGGTGTCATGTTTTAATATCTTAATGTATCTGAGGTTTGTCCAATTGTACTCTGTCCAAATTTAGTTGTGGTCTATGCAGTTTGATCATATCTGAGTGCATCTTGAAAACAGGCTGCTGTTGTGTCCTCCCGCCCCCGCCCCCCATCACAGAGGCTTTTAATAAAAGTGGCGTACATATAAAGTAGGGTCAAACAGTCCCGGGAGCAAAGGAGGGTTTAGGTACTTGTTCCAGAGTCAAATGGTGAAACCACTTTGTAGGCCCTGGGTTTTGAACTAGCAACCTTCCAACTATGGACCCAGCTTCCAAAGCCTGTGGAGCCACACGCCATCTGCTTATGCTGAGGAGTCTCCAGAGGTGCTATCACAGCGGTCAACTCTGTGCTACTCCAACATGTTTTCGACCCAGGGAAGATGACAGTTTGTACGAAGACCTCCAGGACCAATAGATCTCCACTTTCCTTGGGTCCATCAGTGGCATCCTTCCCAGTCCATGTACATCCCAAGAAGTGAAACCTACCCTCTGGATTGAATGGAAGGAGAATTATGTCATTTTGATTTGATGTTAGCTCAGTAAGTCTGGCCCGCTTGCTGTTTTGTGCACCTCCAAAATGTTGCATGTGGCCTAAAGTGGTTTAAACCCCACTGTTGGCTTGCTGCTACATGAGCACATATGTGTCTCTGCATATATCCACAGAAGCTGGCCAAAAAATGGAAGCACCAAGTGAAAAGGGGCTTAACGCATGAAGCAGCTAAATTATAAGAATGTCAGCAGTAGGTTACATCTGTGTGGGTCCTCACAATCAGCATTTTGATTAGCAAGTTTTTGAAGCAACATGAAGGGGAAAAAACACCACAGAAACTGTCAGATTATTGTCAAGGGGAACTGAGAGTTGAGGCTCACCGACGGAGATGGACAGACAACTTACCAGATCCTAAAAAAATTAAAGTATGGCCTCAAAACTTACCACAGAACTGTGTCAGCAAAAACTGCAGCATAAGCTTCACAAGGTTGACAGTTATAGTAGTAGGACTGTCATTCAGAAACTGCCTCTATCCAAGGCTAATGCCTTGGATAGAGGCAGATGCATATATGCTTACATACATATATAGATATAAGCTGTTTTATTGGTCATGTACAAGTTCACTGAAATTCTTATTTAAACATTCAGTAGAAAAAAAAAGTTCTTTCTCACTCTTTCTTCTGGAGCATCACTTAAATTTATACCAGTCCGTCCCTGTACACCAGGGTGAAGGACTTCCAGGAAAGGACAAACCAGACCTCCAGTGGTCTAACGAAGCTCTGCTGTGTGGAGTTTGTACAGTAAGTCAGGTCATAATCATTGGTCTTTCACTGATGTGGGTGATACTGAGATAGGTTTATATCTTGAACCTAGTTTAATCAGCAGCTGAAATTATTTTGCCTGTTACTTTATTCAGCTCACTGAGCTTAATTGTCTTTGTGGTTCTTGTGAAGGGTAAGTTGATTGTTCCAAAATATTGCATCTCTGCTCTTTCACTCCTGCAGCTTCCCTTTTTCCCTGATCTGGATCTCTCCTGTCGGAGTCAGAGGGTGCACACCTTTTCTTAAATTTCTTGTCTGTGGGATGGAGCTGACCGACCCATTCTTCTGGGTTTAATGAAGCGTGGTCTCTGAGAAAGCCAGGATGCATGTGTAGTGAGGTGTAGTGTGTATTTGGGAAGTTAATGAGTTATTTTAGCTGTGCTTTTGCCCTTGGCTGACCTTGAGCTCATGCTGGCTGATTTTATTCTTCCTGTTCTTACAATGGAAGGTCCCTGAGATCTACAATGTTTACCAGTTTCACCTGTAGTTATTTCTCCATGAGCTAAAGTAAAAATTGTGTAGTACACCTGCAATACGGCGATGTGGTTTTAATAAAGGTACTAATAAGATTCGTTAAACTTGTTCTCGAAAAACACGTTCTTGATTCTGAGCACTTGTTTATATAAAGGGCATTAAGCAGTAACCTAAGTACGCCTAATGGTTAAGTGTTCTGTAGCTTATTCAATGCAAGATATATACGTACACACACACAAACATCCAGAGTTTACATTTAAACGAATATATAAGAAGAGAATAAATCATACAATGTTATAAATGAAAAGTTTTAATGATTCTGTTTTAATACTTAGGGGCTCCTCTTAGCACTGTAAGGAGCGTTATAGCACCCTCTGATGTTATTCATAACGTTTTTCATTTGGAACCATTTCGTTCAATAAACGCACCTTTAAAAGAAAGGGACCATGCCGCGAGACGTTTACTAAGATTTAAAAAAATGTTTCAAGTTGAGAGCGAAGTTCGCGAAAAACATACAAGTCATAAGCTGGCAGCCATCTGTTCTTGGTATCACAAACAAGTCAAGAAAACAACACGCCAGATACAATGTTCAAACTTTGTCGCTAATTGGATCGCTAATACAGGCAGTGATATTTGCAGCTAACTTCGTAGCTACGGCTCTTGTTATCCCTCCGCCATTTGAGTGTCCCTGTGTCCCTCCGTACGCAACCGGCACATCCTGCCCTACCCTCGAATGGAATGTAACGTAGGCCTCTCAAATAAGTATAAAAATAACCAAAAATATAGCTGCGACTCATTTCTCCCATGTAACTACAGGGCTTTTGCTCGTTCCTCATACGTAGTTACAGCTCTGACTCCTCGCCTCAGTTGGCCATGAATTATAATTGCACAAATTTTGTTACATCATTTGAAAAAAAAAGGTCGATAAGAATAGCAATAGTTTTTTTTTACATATGTGTTAATGACATTAGTTGCTTTAAAATATCTACATTAGTTCACTGTGCAGTAACAATTTGTATATGACAGGTACTGAGGTACGTTATACTATAATTTGATGGAGGTAGGATTACGTTTCTTTCAAGCACCTCCAGCCCGATAAAATCGAGGCACATCTTCAAAACACCACTTTTTTGATTTTCAATTGGGAAAAAAAGTTAATTTCCTAGAGAAAACCGACGTCACAAATATGCATGCATGACCTGCTGACTCAGCTTGAGTTATTCTCGTTATTCCCGTTACCAGTAAGCTCAATTACAATGTGTTTTGCCAACATACAACATGGCACAATTAATGTGAGCACATCAAATAGTAATACAAACTATTACGAACGATTAAAGATAAAAGGACGCGAAGCCGTTGTGACACGGAGTGACACTGTTTCCCTGCGAAAGGACGCGTAGCCAGAGCGGATCCGCGGCCAGAACGCGCATCGGAGGGGGCGCAGATGGCACTTGGCACGCAGGGACGGGCTTTTACACTGACAGACCTTTGTCAAAACATGAAGCCATACTGGCCTTTTGAAGGACTTCCAAAACTTACAAAACATTTAAAATTGGCACATACCACCACCCCTCCAACTGAGTTATTAATGCAAATATCTCGGTTATAAATGTCATTTAAAATCCTCTTTTAAGATTATTTTAAGATTATGTGTGATCACTAGAAGCCATTAGTAATGGAATGTATGCCGAATTTCCTCTGTGTGCTATTGACTGTGATGCGCCTGTCGTCCTTCTGATCCATCTGTCTCCCACAACCGATTATCCACTACAGGGCTGAATTAAACTGGACCCATTCGGACTGATATGTATGAACAAAAAAATGAACGAATCTGTTGTATTCTATGCGTACGTTATTCGGGTTTTACGGACGCAACAAAATCGCTATGCATGTTACGCATTATTCTTAAAGTCCAGTACGATATGACGTCTTAATATTTTTTCCCCATCTTTAAATTTCTGAGGAATTACCAAACGGGATCTAGGCACCTAACATCGCAAGGTACATCGTCTTAGGAAATGCTAACGTTTGCGTTTATATTTATGCTGGTGAAACTATGAGGATCGTGATTAAGCTAATCTTAAGAAGCTCTACGTGTTATAACGCATTTGATGTCGCAAGTGTAACTGCATTATTATAGTTTATTATACTGAATGGCGATTATTAATGTAGTGTCGTGTCATTGCTAGATTCTAGAAGAACTAGGCAGACCAGAGTAGTGGCCAAGGTCAATTTCTGTATTACAAAGGTGTCCATCTTTCTAACAAATCAAACAAGCAACAAACGACGAGTTTTTTATATATTCCACATTGCATCGCGATAGGTAGATGAAGGCTGCCTTGGCCACCTTTCTGCGGAGGGAGGAAGTGATTTAACAGATTAGAGGAGAGGCGCTATGGGAAAGATGATGACGGAGAATCGCAGACCAGCTGGCGCTGAGAAGTAAACTCATGCTGTTCAGCTGTTTTTACTCCAGCAAAAATAGACCCCGCAGATCGTGCACCGTCGTTGGTTTTGTTTTCAGTAACCAGCCACTTCGTCGTTCGTGTTGCCGATGATTTGTTTAAAATCCTGTTAATTGCAGAGGCCGTAAATTGCTGGCGATTTACAAGAATCCGATACGCTGCGTATCAGGTACGGCGAGTCTACAAATATGCGTCGCTTAGGCATTTAGGAAACGTGATTAATCACGTAATTAATCGATGCGGAGCGTGTCGGCTGAGCGGTCTGTGTATTCGGGGTATGGTGATGAAGGCTGCTGTGTGTTAAAGAAGAAGGTAGCGGACCTACAGGTGGTCGACGGAAATGGGGAACGAAAGATGGCACGTTAGGGGTTTACCGTCGTGGATGCACATCACTTGTATTTAGTAGGTGTTTTGGAGGAAAACGTTTAATCAACCTTTTTTTTTTTAAAAAAAAAGTCTTTGCGTTTGTCCATTTTGCCGCGTAACTTAAGCAAAAGTATTGTACTGTTTGCACATTTCTTTTCTGGTTTATTCAGTAAACGCCTTTGCGTATGCAATTGTCTTTGTGTAGGTTGTCGGTGATATTTGGACGACATGGAAGATTCTGCTAAAGAGTACGTGATCCAGTCCTTTGACAAGGAGATCCAGTATCTCCTCAAAACGTCACTCAAAGGTTAGGTCATTGAAATGAAGCAGTGAATTCCAACAGAACTTGGTTACAAGACACTGAAAAATGACTGGTGGTGTTGCTGTTCACATAAAAATATTTGCTGTATAGATTCTAATATTATTGTGTGCATTTTTTGTCAGAGCCCAGCAAAGTGGATTTAGAGAGAGTTTCCAACATAATTGTGGACCAATCTCTGAGAGACCCCAACTTTAGTAAAGAAGCAGGCCGGATCTGTCACACCATCGTCCAGGTGAACTTTTGGATGGGAACTGAGAAGACTTGACTGTGAAGTGTAATATTCTAGTAATTTAGCAGCATTTGGTAAAGAAAAATGGGGGGAAAAAAGAACAATTTTGCTCCCCCTGCAGGCAGAGGCTAAGGAGGCCAGTGCCAGTGTCTTCCGCCGCCACCTGCTAAATCGATTGCAACGAGAGTTCATGGTCCGGGAAGAAACTCGCAACCGCTCCGTTCAGGAATGGGTCCACTTTGTAACATTCCTCTGCCAGATCTTTGACTGTCTCAAGGTAACGCTCACAAATAGTGAAATATAACCTTTTTAGGAAGAGATGCTCGTCCAGTCATCTTATTCATGTGTTAAATGGCAGTCTTTCCTCTGAAGTGTTAAGGTGCTCTCTAACCTGTAGTCACTGACACTGCTCAGGTGAATGACGTACCCATGGTGGCCCTGGTGCATCCCGTGTACGACTGTCTGTTTAGGCTGGCCCAGTCAGACTCGCTGCAGAACGAGGAGGAGGTGAGCATGTCTCACTGGTCGCGTGTGGGTGTGGCAGGTCTTTACATCCCTGCATGCTCACTCGCATGCATCTGTGCCTCCTTAACTCCTACCTCAGGTCGACTGCCTCGTCCTGCAGCTGCACCTCATTGGCAGGGAGCTGGAGGCCGTGAGTATGCAGCGCATGGATGACCTCTTCCACCACCTACGCGACGGCTTCCTGCTGCACAATGGTTTGGGATCCGTGGTTCGGCTATTCCTACTGGAGATCCTGGAGTTCCGGGCTGGGGGGTGGAGCCTCAGTGACTCGGCACGCCAGTACTACTACAGCGAGGGGGCAGACTGAGAGCCTGGTGTTGGGGAGTGGGGGTTGCGGGTCATAGGTTCTGACAGCCGCCTGTCAGTTTGAGCCAATAGAGTGATTGAGATTGGTTTTGAAGCGGCCATTTTGATTTTGGAAACGGGCTTTGTCACGTTTGTGATGGGCTGCCAGTCTAAGTGTCTGGTGCTAAAGTGGGTGGTGTGGATGGCAGTACGGTAGGGTGGTGGATGTCAAAATTTAAGGAAGTTTCTGGTCATTTCAGTTTTGGTGTTTTTGCCATACGAAGAAGAGGTGCGAATATTCATAACTTGGCAGATCAGTACTAGTATTCCAGTACTGACTTGTGACAGTGGTGACTATTGAGCAAACTGGATTAATAGGACAGCGTAAACCAGGAAGAACAAATCTCAGTTTTCAACAATGGAAGATTTGTCAGTGGGTGTGGTTTCATTCTCTTTCAAATGCTCATTAAATGTACTGGATTTACGAGTGGGGGAGGCACTCTGCTACCAGTTTGATAGTGGGTCCTCGTTGGCAGGGGGGCACACATTGGTAGGTCAGATTAGTCCCAGGACAGAGAAAATGAAGACTCCTTGCACCTAAATATGACTTTTGCAAAGTTTCAGTACGCAGGTTTTCTAATTGAACAGTACTGGTTAACTAATATGTTCTCACTCCTGTAATATACTGTACTAAAAGCCAGCAATTAGAATGCTTTGGGGAATCGTGAGTGTGTTAAACTGTTTGGTTTTTGCTTAATTTTGATATATTACAGGTTGCATTTGCAGTGACTCTGAGCTTCCCAGTAACAATGGGTGACTCAATCTTCACATGGCAAAACTTTAGTACTTTGGTACTCATAGAGCAGTAACATACTGCATTAATCACTGTGGAACTCGCTTGGTTTATGCCCATGTAAGAATCTAGACAATCCTAATGGTACGTACAGTATGACAGAGCCAGTGTTTTGTGCTGGTTTTATGGCCTGTCTGAATCCCTGCATTGCACTGAAACTCAGGGCATTACTATGGTATTATCTCAGTGGAACCAGCAGTTTTGAAATATTGTTTGGTTTGAACGCATTTATTGCGCTTTAGTTGTATACAGCTTTCATTTATAGGCATGGAAACTAAAAGGTACTTGATGTTACGTTGTCAGAATGCTGTGCAGCCATACAGTAATCGGTTGGACTTAATCTTTGAATGTTCTAGTTTGAAATCCTATGAAAATTTATTTAAAATAAAGCTGCATATATTTTGTTTGACAGAGAAAGAAGTAACTACATTTTGGACATCCTTGCAAGTAGGTGTATTTCCAGATGAAGGTTCAGTATGTGTCCAGGCAGAATCAGTGGGTATTAAGATGTCGGTGGTAGCTGGGAGATTTCATACTCGTATGTTGCGGTGAGTTCTGCAGAAAGTCCAGTATCTACTTCTGTCCTATTTGTCTTAAGCTGTCAACTCGCTACCACAACTAGAGTTTTTTTTTTTTTCCTTTTTCTTTCCTACTGAAGTCTACCTGATTTATCTGTTACTAGTTGTTACTAATGGTATTTGAGACATCTAAAATCAGAGCTTCATCCACACTGGTTTGAGAAGGATTCAGAAACACAGGGTTAAAAGAGAGATGTCAGCATTTTCACCAGCAAAAATAAATGCCTAGTTGTCAGCTATGAGGTTTTGTGAAGGACCGACAGCTGAATCGCACTTAAGTGAGACTTAAAATCACAAATGTTACACCTTCACAGAACAGCTTTGTTATAAAGCAGTATTTTTATAGAAATGTCTGACTGGATTTTGTTGTACCAAACATTTATGCAAAATAAGAAATGTTATTCAGAAAAGTTCTGCTCTTTTTCTTGACATTCCAAAAAATAAGGTGATGCTCATGAAGACCTTGTTGCTTGTGGCCTTTTTTTATTATTATTTACAACTTCTAGAAACCATAGAAGTTACATCCATATCCCACAGATGCTAGGCAAAAATCTTTTACTGATCCACACTTCTGGAAAATGTGGTGTACCCCGCTATATAAAAGTGGGAAATGAAGTCTTCCAAGGTTATCCAGGATGAAAGTCCCTGTTCTTTGCCAGCAGTACCATCCTGTAATGACCATATCGCCCTCGCGTGGGGATGCTGGTGACGTCCTTTGGGGATAAAGGTAATGCTACCACCAGCGGTAGTGGGCGAAGGCTCTGTTGGCCTCTGCCATCTTGTGAAGCTCATTCTTCTTCTTGATGACAGAGCCCTCATTTGAGAAGGCAGTCAGCAGCTCCTGCGCCAGCTTCTCGTCCATGAGCGTCCGCCGATGCTTGTTCTCCCGGCACTCTGTGATCAGCCACTTCATGGCGAGGAAGCGCCGCCGGTTGTCTGTGAGAGGGGTGGGCACCTGGTGCAGGTCAAGAGGTCAAGGTCATAATAGGCAAACATGGCTATTTCTGTAACTGTGGCGCTGATGCAACACTACTTATGACCACCAGACTGGTCTGCATGGTATGCAGCAGGACCATTCTGCTTATAATCATGACACATTGATTTAAACTAACTTTTCACCTACGCCGTCTTGCTCTACAAGCCACAGATATAAATGTAGGTGACAGCAAGACTGGCAGTGAAGCCACCTGCAGTGGCACCCATGGAGCTGGGTGTTAAGGGCTTTGCAGAAAGGCCCATAGACTTGACTATTCTGCCGAGGCCGGGCTTGAACCAATGACCTTCTGGTCACAGGCACAGAAGCTAAGCTCACTGGGCTACACACTGCCCCCATATTTTTACATATGTCCACCCACCAGCAAACTGTTTAAAAAAAAAAAAAAAAGTTCAACAGACCTACACATATTTCACCTCAATATACACAAACAGGAAAGTACTATATACCTGGTAGTACTTGCCCCCTTTCTGGATGCTAACCAGACCAATAACTGGCTTACAATTGGCCAGTGCCTGGTTGAAGATGATATACGGGTTACATTCTATAGTAGCCTTCTGGGCATCAGGGGTTTTGTGATACTTCTCCACTTGTTTCCTCTTGATGTTCTCAAGTGTCTACACAGGGGAAATGGGTGAATGTCAGTCACATGACGACAGCACAGTCCACTGAAAAACTGACAGTTCGCCTCTTCTATACCTGTAACATGATACTCCTGGCTAGAATCTTGTTGCCACCTTTCATCATCATGTTGATAAATTTGCTGTTAACACAGAAGTGGGGTGTGAAGAAATCACACTAATCGTCAATTTTCAAAAGGAAGTGGTAAAGCAGCATTCCACACACACGCACACACACCATGATACCTAATCATTGGGTCACTGAAGCCAGAGCTGTGAAGTGAGGCTGGTGCTGCTTTGATGGGCCTGACAGCTTTCAGTTCCTGCTCCTTCCTCTGTTCTGCCGTAAGATCCGTTTCTGGGATGTTGTACACTTCCTTCCGAACCTCTGGCTCCAAGTAATAAGGATTATACCTGCTCCATCTGACCTGGAACAGCCTGAGACATGACACAAACTCACCACTGCACACATGAATACTGCTTAAAAATGCTAAGTGCATGAAAATAACTGTGTGTGCGTGCGCGCACTGTGTTACCCTTAAAACTAATAAGAATGTTTAAAATTCCCAAAGTAGAGGAAATATGAAGTGACTTCATAGCATGTTTGGCCATCATGATTTAAAATAAAAGCCTCCATAACTTCAGGATAGATAGGAAGTCTACTGGATGCAGTGTCATTACCACCACCCCCGAAATCCCATCTTTTAATATTTGCTGTGCTGTGCTAGTGATGGAATACATTTCAAACAACATTCCGGAAATCCTCTCAGGAGTTTTCTAAAGGGGTGTGAGAGAGAATCAAAGGTTTGAACTCTTTTTCATGATAATGGGTCATTCACTGTACAATTGTGCTCTTTTTACAATGTCTCCTTGAGAGTCCATGTAAATTAAGGAAAAATGCATGCACTTTTGTCCACAGCTTTGCCAACGGTGATATTCTATTAGAATCACCGTAGTGGTGAGCCCCTGTCAGAAACTTTATTGTTAGGTTACTGCCAAACCTTGCCAACAATCGGGTCTCTCTCAAAGTCTCTGAAATCTTTCCATTTTGGAATGATAGATAAAGTAATCGCCTGCCATTTTTATATATATCCCTAAACCTGCCGGATTTTTTTTTTTATGTAACTTTTTTTTAATATTTTTTATATGCTCAAAGATTTCGAATCGCCTGTTTTCACCATACTCCGCATCTCTAGTTTCTGGAATGGCTGGCAAGTATTTTAAGTCAAAGAGAATGGTGTGCTTTTAAAAAAATTAAAAATGTAAACGTAATTACTAATTAATGATATAAATCGTAAAAGGCCTGATAATTTTGCGAAGGTCAAACTAGAATCGAGCTGATTTCGAGAGAGGCAGCACGAGGTATCTTTGGATGGAGTGGCTAACAAGCTACATATCAAATATAATTTTCAATCGACATCCTCAGCAATTACAGGACACAATAGAAATTATACAGCCACTCAGTTACAAGCAAGCTACTGTACCAATAAGGGACACGATTCACAGAAAGAATCAGTGCCGCAACCACCCTCACTACGTCTTTACTGTCATTTTCCCCTGTACTCGAAGAGCGTATTTTATCACACATAACCATTCAGTAAACATATGCATTTAATATTCATTTTGTAAACATATAATTCTAAACATAAGTAAACATTTACTTAAAAAAACAATCATTTTACCTGGGCGTCCATGGTTTCAATAACGTTGCTGTCACCGCAGCCATCTTGGTTTTTGAAAGGACCCAGGTGAGGGCTGCCAATAAACTGCCTGATCGTCTGCTCCAATTCGCTATATCGGTAAATTTATTTACTTAATTTAACCATACGTATGTTATAATTATTAAAAGGCAATAAACGTACTAACATTACAAGGACAGCTTTCTATATAATTTTTTCTGAGGCTCACAGATGGGAGTTCGGGTGAATGGAAAACAAAGTGTGTCGTCATCGGCGTCGCCATCACGAGGGGTTTCAGCGTTTATCGAATATGGCGGATCCGGAAGGGGAGTCGTTGGAGTCTTGGCTCAGTGAGTACCTGTCACGCAATGGACATTTAATGATTGTTTTCAGGCCTGCTGTTGTGCTGGGCATGAAACGGATTTTGTGCGCATAAACAGATGCGTGAACGAAACCGTTACATTGTGTCAGAATTAAGATTGGGTTTGATAATGTTGACAGCTGTGAAATTCATTTTTCTCTGTGTTTGTAAAGCGGGAAGCGCAGGTCGTAATACTTAGTTAGCTTGTTATTTGCTGTTAGCATTAAATAGTCCTGACAGTAGACAGATAAATAGATTAGTTTATATGATTTTTTTAAATTGTGCGCAGTGAGGAAGAGGAATAAAATGCCTGGGATTTGGCTGGGTAACGAGGTTACCATGATCGACTGGACGGTACTTTGACGTGGTTCCTGCCCCTCAGTGAGTCAGTTAGTGTAGGAGCGCTGCAGCTCACAACTCAGTTATTTTGATGCCACACGTTTTGACAGTTGCAATAAATTATACCAAAGCCTGTACTGATTCACCCTGAAAGTTGTTTTGTGAAATGTGTGTCAGTCTTCACCAGTGAAGTCGGGCGGATTGGACCGGTATTGCTGGCTAATTAACCACCTACCTTGGCACAATGTGTATGATGCTATCAAAACCATGCCATATAATATAACCCCGTTTTAATCTTTAATCAGTTAAGTCACAAGCATCGTATTGATTATGTGCTAATCTTATCGTAGTAAACATATCTTTTTGTTGTACTTACTGCAAGGGAGTGACGTCAAACACATTAATTTTATGCCCTTTTGTGAAAACAAGCGCTGCGATGTGCACTAGTCACATATAAGACTGCAACACGCTATAGCATTAACTGTAATTGCATTTTATTCCAGCATCGGCATCGGCCCTCTGCTTTGAGAATCAAATCTTAAAATTAGGATTTTGCCATTTTGTTAATTTGACTTCCTATGTCAGCCCCTGGAGGTTGGGAACCCCTTTGAGTCTGGTTCCTTCCAAGGTTTCTTCCTCCTCGGGAGCTTTTCCATGCCACCTGCTTTCTCGCCTCTGGCTTGCTTAGGGGGGGCTTTGGGTGGGGATAAAGTAAAGTGCTTTGAGACAATGTGATGCTGTGAATTGAATATTTTTTTCCGGTTAAAATTAGAACTATTATTATTGAAGAAGTTAGAAGCAGTAACTTTTAAAATAACGTTTCTCCACAGATAAAGCCACCAACCCTTCCAACAGGCAGGAAGATTGGGAGTACATTATAGGATTCTGTGATCAGATCAATAAAGAATTAGAAGGGTGTGTATCTTCTGACACTCCAGAGGGTGTGATAACTTGATGACATAAAAGCTTCTTTGTTACAAATTTAAAAAGAATGTGTGTGATGATTGAATTTATCTGTTGAATAGCCATTTCTTTTACCCACTTTTGGACTATTTCTTGCCCATTTGATTTTTAAGTCAGCCATCCATCCATCTTGCTTACCTTTTTTCAGCACAGAGATGCAGTTATTCTTAAGTTATGTTAATAATAATACTAGCTTTGTTTTATGTTGTCGGTATTTAAAGACACTTTGTACGTCTTTCCAGTCCACAGATAGCGGTCAGGTTGCTAGCTCATAAAATCCAGTCTCCTCAAGAATGGGAAGCAATACAAGCCTTGACAGTAAGTAATTGCAAACTTAAAAATGAGCTTGATTTTCTGTCAAATGCTCCAGGCTTAAAGTGTATCTCACTTTTGCAGGTTTTAGAAGCCTGCATGAAAAACTGTGGGAGAAGGTTTTATAATGAAGTTGGAAAAT